CCCCCTGATTTTGAACATTCAGTCAAATCTGTTGAATCCCACCCAAAGTCATTTTACGACATCTCACCGCGAAGAAAAGCTACCCAGAAAAATGAAAGACCAGTGTAGGTTTTTCTTTTTGTACGGGAAGACCTGGCTTTGACAAAAGACATCGGCGCCTCCAGTTATAAAGACATGAAAGATGCAATAAAGGAAACAAAGCAAAGTCAAATGAATTCAGAAATACGGACACAGTTAGATAACATGAGCCATACCAGCAATTCTGAGGTCAACCACACTAAATGGATTTGACCTTAGACCAATCCCCCACTCAGAAAAAACAAATATGAAAAATATAATTCTTTTCTGAAGCCCGGAGCATTGTCCTTGCAACTTTGGACAATTTATTTGGATTTTGAATTAATTCCGATACGTTGACCTAGTTGCGTGTTTGATGCTTGATTCGATATAAATCTCTCGGCAAATCAGGTGGTCCACTTGTTTTATGTTAAACGGTAACTGCAGTCTAGTAGTTGATAAATGTCGATGGCAGTCTGGTTTTCGATGGCATTTTCAGTTGCTCCAGACGGTGGCAGATTAGTATAAATTTTACGATAATTATTCTCTCATAAAAATTGCTTGATTTCACGGTGAGCGAAATAATTATAAAGCAATAGACCGTTTTGCTACTGCTTTGAAATTATTTGTTGCTTCTATTTTTCAGTATAATGTTACTTCGTCGTAAATTTCCGTTTTGTCCTCTTTTTTTTTGCAAACATGAGGTTGAGATTAATATACTCGTACATGATTCCTTTCAGAGTCAAAGCTTCATAGCCTTGTCATAGGTATTTCTGAGACTCCTTGCCCCCATGATGAAATTGAACGCAAAGTAAAATTTAAATTGCTGGAATCCCTGTTCTCATGGTGTTAGACATTCATTGAGCTTCTAATCAGAATCCCAAAATATAAAACGATTATCATATACAATATTCATGTAAATCACCTATTTTGACAATAATCGTTTTATGTTTGTTTTTTAATTTCAGTTTGGATATGAGACACTAACTGTGCGCTCTTCAAAAGTGAAGAAAATTCGGCAATCTGCTTCCTAATCCCTGGATCGTCAAAGAAAAGAAAACTCCCTTTCTTTCTTGACATCTTTCGACATCTTTCGACAAGGGATTCGTGACAAAAAGGAAATCGTTACTGACGCAGAACAAATCGTTTTGCGAAACGTCGCCGTCTTTACGTGACTCTATCATCTAGAAGAAGAGGAAAATTGCAACATCATTATTGCACAACAGGGCATGAGTAATTTCAGCTGACACTGTATATGTCCTTCATGTAACATCGACGCAAAGTTTGAAGTATCATTCAGATTCGGGACATATGCTCTTCACTCTTCGGTGCTGTTCGGTGTTCTTCGGTATGGTTCAGAGATCTTCGTTTAAAACTTCGGAGGGTATCGAACACTGACCAACAATATCAACCGAGTCTTCGTTTGTGAAACTTGTGAACTCGCTGCTTTTACATCTATATTAATCAACATTTTCTTTTAAATTGTTGTGATTGGAACTTTGATAAGAACATCATGGCCAGACTATACAACACCATTGTTTGCCTTACGCTTACTCTCCTGTTCGGTAAGTAGAAAAAAACAACAGTTTCAAATATTTCAGTTTTATTAACATTTCAGGGAATGAAAGATCTTGCTTTTTTTCGAATACGAGTATTTTACAGCATTTCTGATTTATTTTAACAAATCGAATTACGTTTAAGGTCGTTCTGTAACAATGATCGTATCCAGATGACTATTTTATCAGAAATCTCGTAAAGCACCGCTCTGTTTGAGGTTATTTTACTCTTGTAATGAATCCTTATAATGTGTATTGCGTCTATTTTCGGCTGTAGAATAGAAATCCCCATCTACAAACAATTTGTGAAGAGTAATCAAAATAATTATCTATTCAATTTACTTTTCAAATTTGACATGTCATTAGAATTACCGTTATTACAGTCATAAAATGAGTAAGATTATAATCATTATCATTCAAATCGACAAAATAATGCGATGTCTTATAACCGAACCCTGTTATATGCCCGTCATTGCCGCGTGTGAGAATGACTTAGGCGCGAAGATTTTAATCAGGCGATTAAAATCTGCGATGAAAGAAGAGGTGAGCGCACCATAAATTTCACATAATATTAGTTACTTAAGGTAATTGGTGAATCATGGTGGAAATGACGACGTTTTCCTTGAAAGATACCACCTACATACGATAAAACATGGCTTTGTGTGCCTTGATCCTTTGCCGCCGCCATTTATACAGATTCAGATCCAGAATCCAGATAATTTGTTTGTTTCCTGATTGTCCGTCTAATTCTTTTGATCTAATTCATTAACTTCTTGGTATATTCATATTAACATGAATCATAAAAATAGTAAATAAGTTGTGGTTTACAAGAAGAAGCAGTACAAAATCGAATATTGTCATTTTAGAGTCACTGACTTCAGTTCTGGTTCTACTTAACCCATCCCTAGCTTTTCCTCTGTCCGACTGTTCCTCTGTGTCTCTTTGTGTCTCTTTGTGTCTCTCTGTGTTCTCTCATTCTTTCCTCCTCCCTTCTTCCCACTTCTTTCCGTTTCTACTTTCTCCTCTCTATCTTCTTCTCTCCCCTCTCTCTCTCTCACTCTATCTCTCTATCTCTCTCTGTCTCTGTGTCTTCCCTCTGTCTCTGTCTCGCTCTCTCTCTCTCTCTCTCTCTCTGTCTCTCAATCTCAATATTTAGGGAAGGTATGAGCACAATTAAAGGTAATACAAAGTTTTGGGAAATTTTGAAAATTGGATGGAGAGTGAATCTTTACAAGAATCTCTAAAACACTTCTGTTTTCGAGAAAAATGGAATATAAAAATTTACCGGTGCTCCCGGTAAATTTTGATAAATTCCAAATAGCGCATATGGCAGTACAATGGTAGCTGCGACCATGAAAATCTCAGAATATGTAGATGTGATATATAATTTCCAAACGGAAATAGCTAATTGGTCGATTCTAGTCAAGAAACATTGTTTCATAGCTAAATTAATATCTTGACCTTGAGAGGGAGCTATATAACATAAAGAGTTTATTATTTACAATTTCATAACTTTAGACTCGATTTCAAGCTTGACAACGATCAATGAATATTGTAGGAACGCATATGCTTCCAATATGTTAATTTGACCCAAATTCATGACCCCATACCAAAACTTTGTAATACCTTTAAGTATATCTCACAGTTGTACTTTGTCAAACAATTATTAAGAAAAATGCGGTGGAAAAGGGAGCAGCATCCTGTGTGCGAAAATATGTCTCTCAGTCGGGGGCCTAATTTTGAAAAGACATTTTCATGACCCACATTTTGTTTCGAAAGAAACATCATTACAAGATAAAGGAGGGGTACCCTTGGGCCACCAAAGGATACAGGGTGGGGATACTTGTCTTCCACGAGTATACCATTGAGTCACGAAAAACCATGACAGAGAACATAAATGGAAGGGAAATGAGCAAGCACCTCTAGAAAATGTGCAAATCGGCAAATTCCTCTCACGAGGTCGTTCTGTTTGCACTTGTATTCCTCCTTGTATTCTTTTAAATTATTTTGCACTTTTCCTTTTTCATTTTGATGTAAACCAAAAGAAATCTGGTTGTTATCCGATTCATGTGAGGCCAATTCTGGTTTGTTCTCCTTTTCTTGAAGTAATCGAAGTAGTCTTGGAAAGTGAGAAATTCAGGACTGGTTTTCTTTCGTACCCGCGCGTGAATCAATCCAATCTCATCTACCTGTTCAATTTCAACTTTTATTGAACTCTTTTGGATTATTTTGGATTCCTTTCATTCTGTTTTCGTATCGTTTTTGTGCAGTTAAGAAATAAAGGTAAATAAGCGGTTTTTTAAATAAAATATATAGACGACATTTTTGGAGAGAGAGAGATAGAAAGAGAGAGAGAGAGAGAGAGGGGGGGAGGGATAAGTAAAGAGAGAAATACACACACACACACACACACACATGTTATATATACAAAGAAAACAAATAGAGAGAGAGAGAGAGAGAGAGAGAAAGAGAGAAATATAGAAAGGGAAAGCAATCAAAAGAAGCAATAACAGAATTGAGAGATTAATTTTAGATTGATTGTCGCGTGACGGATACATGAGCGGTATGCAAAGAAGAAGAAGAAGAAGAAGAAGAAGTAAATATAGAATCAAGGGAAGAAAGAAAGCCCATGAAGAGATTAAAAAAGAAAAGAGAATTAATCAGAGGTAACATCAAGTAAAGTAGTCTGGAAATGGAGACCAATTTTCATCAAAGGCTAAGCTAAAGTGGCATATGGAAGAAATTACACAAATGTTACATCCTCGGATGTAAACGATCAACTCGGAAATCATGGATGTATCAGGCCAGTTGGGGCCTCATTCGCAAAATATCGGGTTGCTTTCAGTTTGTTCTTGGCCATGACATTTGGTCATGTTTGTGGAAAGTGTCAATATTGACACAATGGATTAGGACATTCCGTAATTTCTATTACAGCAAACATAAGTAGTCAGAACCAGAATCTTACAATAATATCAACCTTTGACATGTTTAAGCAGCCTCTAAAACTTCACGATGAATTTTGGGGCGGGCAAAGGCGATTTTCCCACAATAAAAACGCTGTATTTTTGTTATCCTTCCGTTGTATGAAGATACTATTTCTTTCATTGCACATTCGTATATTATCGCCGAGAAGACTTTCCAAATCACCGTTGGAATGCATCTCTATCATTTCAGTTTTCTTCCTATTTCCACCAACATTATGTCCGGTGAAAGTAATGAAGCCTCTGCTTGGTAATATTGAGTGCTTTGCTCTTTTTAATTGTTGCAAGTTTACATGTCTGTATATTGTAGAGGAAAAACAATGAAATTACGATGTCTTTGATGACTAAATTGGATCCTGTTTATATAGTCTAAATGTTTTTCATCTTTTGTCTTAAAACAGTGACCGTAAATGCAGGAGGGGCTACGCCACATTGGCTTCATTCTATCTGCTCTTGGTTTGGTAAGTACAATTTTAATTGTGATTTAAGATAATAATTAATACAGTGATAATTGGGAGCCCCAACAATTATTTTGATGGCAAAATTTCACTTAAAGTATATCATAATGTAAATGAGAATGTCAATGTGTCTTTGATGACATCGTCTTTCACATTATGATACAATTTGAGTGAAATTTTGCTATCAAATTGTTGGGGCTCCCAACACTTTAGAGGGGCTTTAACCCGTGAACTGAGTACACCGTCGTTTTATGATTGTTGGATAGACTTCCTTCAAACTTTGTCAGTTCTGTACGAAGAAAAAAAAATATTAATGATTATATTTGGTTGTTTTTCTTTCTACTTTCTGTGCTAAACACATTATGTAACAGAAACACATGTGTTAACTCACATCCTAGGTTAGGAATTCAAGGACAATCGAGGAAACTGATGTTCTTTATTGATAACAACTTTCGGTTTCGTTGTGCAGTAAGGAATCTATTAGACTCTTTAGAGTCATTTGTAATAGTCATGTTATTTTAACCTCATTTTCATTTCTGTTTACCGTCTGTGTTCACGACAGGATTCTGTAACGAGGTGTGCTACGGAGACCTGGGATGCTTCGATACCACATTAAACTGCCACCGAGACTTCTTCCCGCCCCTCCCACCCGCCGACATCAACACCTATTACGTCATCCATACGCGTAAGACGGAGGGGAATCCCCAAGCCGTTGTGCGCTCCAATGCGACACAGGAGGCGATGGTGGATGTGGTTGGTGAGAGAAGAATATCCTTCATCATACACGGGTGGGGTGAAGGCATCTGGAAGCAGTGGATTCTGGATCTGAGGGATGCTCTGCTGGAGAAGGTGCGTTACTACAGAACAATCCACCTACCTGTAGAAAAGAAGTTATTATTATCTTGCAGTCTTTGCGACCAAATGACGCCAAATAAAGGAAGACCTCTCTTGTCATGGGTAGTGTTGCATTATAGCGAGTGTCAACTCATACATTGCCACGACATGACCTGAAATTAGATTACAGAATCGCAGAACCACAGGCGTTATAATGAAATCTCACAATTTCCCCTTGTTTAAGTTAAATATCTTTTGTGTTATACGTTAGTGACACAATTTTTCATTTTAATTATTTTAGATCACCTCTTGTTTTGAGGTCGTGCCATTTTTAAAACAAGCGAATGACATGCAAATGTTGATGCAAAGGTGATTTTATATGCTCGTCGAATTTTTAGAAAAGGTTGACCGATTGGAATTGTTTTGTGAAGATTACATTTTGTTTAAAGAGGCAGTTAGTAGTGCCAGACGTAGTCTACATGGAATACCATCTGTCTGGAGCCAGAAGGGCGTTAAATATACTTATACACAGAGTGTATGTCCTGCAGTTTCTGAAAAACTGTATTCCTGCCATATCTTAAATGAGACAAATGAATATGATCTGGGCCCGTCCTATAAACAGTAGCGATTAATCCCGAAACTTACGATTGATATCAACCACAGTTATGTACATAAGAGATAGGAGACTGTTAACTTGCGATTGATTAGAAAAGGAAACGCTCTTCTGATCATACGGTGAAAGTTCCAATGTTCAATGTTATGTTGTCTTCTACTTTGCTGCTACCTACCTACAGGAAGACTTGGCTGTTGTGCTGGTGGACTGGTCAGACGGTGCCGAGTCTCTCAACTACCTGAAAGCAGTACAGAACATGCGTGTGGTCGGCAGGGAAGTTGCCAAGTTTGTACAACTTCTGCACGAATACACAGAACTACCTTACGACAAGTTTCATCTTATCGGACACAGCCTGGGTGCCCATGCCGCCGGATTCGCCGGCGAGATGCAACCCGGTCTCGGCAGAATCTCAGGTAATAACATAATTATTAGCGACTCTTTTAGCGTATTATTTATTCAATTTGAGGTATGGTATGGGCGGTGTATCTTTTTGGAAGGGGTATCGGACCAAATGTGTCGACCGAAAAGGGCCGTCCTAAAAATTTTGAAAATTGCCGACAAATTATTCAAATTGATTTTAAAAACATGAAAAATACTTGCCGACACAGTAATGGATTTATGGACAAAAACTTTGAAGGCGGCGGGGAGGCGCCTTGGACGCTGTCATCTGTTTTCTCGTTCTCCATTATTCCACTGGAATGGGTCAATAGGGATGTGTCTAAAGCATTTTAAGGTAGCAAGAAATATATAATTTGTGTTTAAAATCACTAACTTATTTATTCAATGTAATAACTATTAAACTTTCTAGAGAAAGGAAAGACCGAATAAAGAACGATTCTAACAAACACAATTCTTCATCCTTCCCTTAGCTCTTGATGCTGCAGGTCCAAGTTTTGAAGGAACTGACAGAGACTGCAGATTGGACGAAACAGACGCCAACTACGTCGATGCCATCCACACAGATTCTAGCAAGCTCAGCGAAGGCGGAGTCGGCATTTCCCAAAGAGTAAGTTCCTTTGACAATTACGAATGAATTATTTTGTCTGGAGTTAATGGACAAGATGACCTTCAACTTTGGAAGGTGATTTATTATTTATTTATTTATTTTATTTATTTATTAGTCTTTTTTTAGTAGGGTGGCTCCATCAGTAGTTAAATACTGTTTTCCGTGGAGGCCCTACAACATAAATACAAAATTAACAAACATATTGAAAAACAAACAATCCAAATCGAAACAAAGTGAATTAAGTTACAACATTTTCGAACAAAAGAAAAGAAACAAACACAACACAATGGACCATATAAATCTTTATTTTCGTTTGTAACGACACAAAGTTTATTGTAATCTCCCGTTATTGTATGTTCCAAGACCATGTTGAATAGAGTGGAGGGGGGGGGGGGCAACTCTACCAATTAATTAGTGGACATTTTATGAAGTAACAGAGAAGTCAACCAGAGTTTTTCATTTACCGACAAGGCCTTGAAAGTTCCTAAACATGCCAGCATAAACTTGAATGGGAAGTGGTCCTGGATGTGAAAGTCCCACACCCCCCTCGAGCGATGTCCCTACTAGATATTGCTTCCAAAAAGACTCCATTGAGAAATGATTTGCTTACGAAAAACAGTAGTGGACATGATGTATTAATGCGTATATTAGAGACGATCGTTTAATCTACGACCATAATACTACAAGTCGAGCATAATTATGAATCACTAGATTACCATTCTGATAATCGGGTAGTCAAAATAAAACTTATTAAACCTATACACTTCTGCTCTGTATCGTTGTCAGGTTGGACACAGCGACTTCTATCCAAACGGTGGCTACGCGCAGCCCGGTTGTCGATGGTGGATGGTAGGTTGCAGTCATGCTCGCTCGCATCTCTACTTCATCGAGTCCGTACGTCTTCCCCAGTGCCGATACACCGCCATCCCCTGCAAGAGCGAAGAGGACTTTGTTGCGGGACGATGCCGGTCGTGCGGCGAGAACGGCTGCAAGCTGATGGGGTACTACACCGACGAAATGAATAACAACGGGTCTTTCTTCCTTAGCACTCGGGGCCACAGTCCATACTGCACCAAGATGAAGTTCTACTGGAGAAGGTTCTACATGCTGCGGCAAAGGCGATCCGCTGCTATGTCGGAGGAAAACAGGAGCATGAAACACAGCAACATGGTGCCCCTGACATGACATGATTGTTTCCGATATGTCGAAAGAACTTTGTCCCAACCTGTTTCATTTATTTGAAGGCGCTATGTCTTTGTCCTTTGTCCTTGAGTCGAACATACAACCACCGAAGATGGGACTTCATTAGCAGAGTCTTCTGTTGTTATATATTGGCGACATTGGTGATCTTAAGGATCTTTGTTCTTGTTCATATATAATTTGATTATATATAATGTGATGCGTCGTCTTCCTGAATCGAAGCTTTTTCTATACAAATCAAAACGTGAATTCAAACGTATATATTATTATATTTTACCGTGCCTTCTCAAAACACGTTCGAAAAAGAAGAAAAAAGTGCATTTTTATATTAAAAAAGTGATACCCCACCTACTGCTCCTGTATAACAACGAAATGTTAGTTTGTTTATTTTTATGACTAAATATGCATATTCATTGTATCATAGTATATTACAATTTCCTTGTGTTAAACATGTCCAATGTGCAAGATGTTATTGCATTTCATTAAAAAAAATCTATTCTTTCTATCTTAGAGTTTGTAGAATGACATAATTCTACAAATCCTGAGAAAAAAAGAGAGAAAGAATTAGTGTTTTGATTAATATTCAGTTTAGTTTTCATATTATGAAAATTGAACTTAGCATTAATCAAATGAAGAAATATGAATGGATTATTTCAATGAGCAATACCATGAACACGGTAGGAAGAGGACGGTATATACTATCACAAATATTTTAAATATAAATGCTCAGTCTAAACAATATAACACAATCTCTACCCAAAAATGAAAATGCTAGAAGCGACAGTTATTTCAAGCTGATGGCATCAGATGCTATAGAGCTTCTGTGACTCGTGTGCTGACCGGGCTAGTCCCTTGAATTGTCAGTGAGCTGAAAACCTGGATGGCACCGACCCCCACCGGGCCGAGCTGAGGATTGAAATGGGTGATACAAATGATTTTTAATGAGTTTCTGATAATATAACTTTATTATCAAATAAACATTTACTTTACTATAAAGATAACTGTTGCTGAGCTAGCGCCATGAGTCACTGGTCTGTGTGTGCGCTCTATAATTTTACACTATTATTATTATATTTCATGTCATGTTTTGCCTCTCATTTTGTGAAATCCTGTCTTCTTCAGGTATTGTCCAACATAATGCATTGACTCGTTTGAAATAAAAACAGGCAGGATAAGTGTATATTTTGTTTCATTTACTCTGTATAAATCTTATTCGTCAGTGCGCAAAAAGGATATTATATATAAATAAATTACAAGGTTGTATTCATACTATAAGTATTCAAAATTGCTAAATGACCGTATGACATTGAGGTTATATTACAAGCAGACTGTTTTTAACGATATAATGGATTATAATATTGTTGAAATTGGGGCCAAGGGTACTTTATTTGTCTGTGGTTTCGATATACAGCAGCCTTAATTATCTCTTCAAACTGGTGGTGATGTCTGTATAGAAGAACATATGTAATTATCTTAGTTACATGGTTAAGCAAGTTGCTTCCCCCATTTTCTACTCATTGAAAACTAATGGGCAATTAGCAGTATATTTTGCGACGTATACGATCATTATTTAAGTGTTCAGAATATGCGATTGTAAACATTATTGTGTACGTTCATAGTCTATATAGATGATTAAAGGCTGTGAGGGATTAGACCACCCAGGAAGATCACTGACAGGTGACTATCTCATCAACTCAGCTCTCAATTAACATAGAAAAAGAGGATCATGGGGGACCAATTGTCACCGATTAGGCATTGTTTTCTATATAGAGGGAGCAAGTAGCTACAAGTAGGACAGTGGGGCTTTCAGTGTTCAGAATATACGATTATAAAATATTATTGTGTACGTTCATAGTCAGTATGGGTGCTTGATCAACAAACAAACTACTTAAGAGCAGATTTAATGTATTTTTGAATGAAAATACTTGATTTATGTCTAGGGTCGTCTTATGCAGATGTTTATTTTAAAAATTACAATTATATTTTTTTCAAATTGATATCTGGCAAGTTATTAAGAAATATCTGCTTGGTTACAGCTCTAACTTATTGAGATGTATATATCGAATGTATGTGAGCTCATGGCGAATCTATAAAGCGTGCTAAAGAAGATATTTTATGCAACCTGTATACGGCTCCCTAGAGAAGGGCTTTTAAAAATAAAAAACACGCCATCGCCATAACGAAGGAAGTTGCAAGAGGTCTTTGGGCTGGTTCAAGAACCTAATCTTTGTAGTGATATGAAGATCACGTCTTAATGGTCTGCTTCGTGATCTAGTTATTGGTCTAGTTATTGGCATGAAGACTACATTATTGAGTTCTTGACCTGCAATCAAGGTATTCTTATGCAACGTTTTTGAATTTATTAGATTATGTGATCATCAATTGTTCGCTTTATTTATGTTATTTCGCTGTGTTATAACTTGAATCAAATTGGAAAATAATGTTTTTGTCAGAAAGAAAAGGAAAATTGCTATATTTGTATGAATATATTTTTTCTATTGTACATAAGGATATTTATGAAACTCCTTCCAATAAAAGACACCATGCTTATTGTGTACAACGTATTCGCGGAGTAAAGAGTTATTTATTATTTCGGTATATCATAGGCCTATATGTTCTTTCTCATTAAATCGAAAGAATTAAAAAATCCATATGTTGATCAACATGTGATGTTTCTTTAATGAAAAAATAACCGTGGCATTAAAGCCCCTCTAAAGTGTTTGGAACCCTACAAATTTGATGGCAAAATTTCACTTAAATTGTATAATAATGTGAAAGAGGATGTCATTTATAAGACACATTTCTGTAAGGATTTTAAAAACAAATACATGTATGTTTGAAGTCGAATATTGATGAAAGAATACAAATTTAGGTTTTCTGCGTACAACAGAAAACCCTATTATGTATGATTTTAATCAATATTTGTCTTAAAACACATCTTCTTCTTTTTTTTTGGGGGGGGGGCAGAGGGGGAATCTTTGCAGAAATGTATCTTAAATGACATCCTTTTCACATATTTAAGAGAAATTGTGCCATCAAATTCTTGGCAAATTTGAGCCGAGGCTCCCAACAAAGAGAGAAGGAGAGAGAGAGAGAGAGAGAGAGAGAGAGAGATGGAAAAAGAGATACAATGGAGAGGAGACATGGAGGAGGAAGAACAAAAAAGAGAAAGAGGGAAATAAATTAAGGAAGAGAATGCGAAAGTATACTTGTAAAGCGCTTAGAGACATTTGTATTAAGCGCTATATAAAAATTAAATATTATTATTATTGTTATCAAAGTGAGAGAGAGAGAGAGAGAGAGAGAGAGAGAGGGGGGGGGGGGAGGGGCAGAGATGAGGAAAATTACAAACATTTAACAAGCAACGGTTGAACAGATCCTTATAGATCTTGGATGTAGACCAGACTGCTTTTTTTGTCTCATTTATTCATAATTCCAATATCCATGAAGTAAAAATCGTACTATTTCAAAAATGAGGTGACTATAATTATATTCAACGAAATATTAAAATAACAAAATCGTGAATCATAAGGTCAATAAAGTGGAACAACATGTTACATGTATTGGATTGTTTTTGAAAACCAACGAAAATAATACAGACGATTTTCAAAGAAGAGGGGAAACTATTAGTACTGAAACATCGCCAAGTATTTGTGGTAAGTGGATGGAACATAAGAAACAATGAAGAATTACTGGAGGAAAATATGACAATACTGTGATGCGAACATTGTGTGATGGGCGGACACAGAAGAAGGAGGGGTTGGGTGAGTTATTCATTTTGTCCATGTTACGAGGGAGCCGTGGGGTAGGCGGGCGGAGGGGGGGGGGGGGTGAGCATCTCTTAGTATATAATTAAATTGTACCGAATTGAACTGAGCAATAAACCACATGAACCTTAATAAGTTTTCAAAAATATGAACAGGTAAGGAAATTAGGAGAGGCAGCATTTGCCACCACTACGCCTCCCCCTCTCTCTGCGTGGATATTCCTTTAGAAATTAAAAATGTTAAAAATATCTTTGATAGGAAACACAACCTTACAGTATTGAAATCGGTCATCAAAATTCAAAAAAATCCTCAATTCATTCACTGAATTGATCACTTCGTTGGATTCCTTCATTTGCTGCTATGTTAAATGTACTCAAATGTTTCCTCTCGTGCCAATTATGACTAATAGCAAAACTTCACCATAAACTAACCAGCACTTTGTGACATATTTTTGCAATTCTACAAAGTGTTCTTGGCATTAGTATAGCCATGTGCTTGAACAGTGAATAAAGAGTTATTTGCCAAGACACAAACCCACTTTTTAATTTAATTTTTTTTTTAAATTAATTTATTGATAAATATATGCTTTTGAATAAATCAAACAATCATACACAATCAATTGAAATAAAATCGTAGTATCTTAACATAGTTCAAATAAAACATGTTTCGTTTTCTTGAATAACAGTGTTTTCAAAAATGCATAGCTTTTTTATTTTACAGTTCCTTTCGATCTTTAATCAAACAAAGCCACTTTATTCCATTCTCTCCCTCCTTCCTAGTGTATATGAGCAAAAAGTCGAACTGTGCATGCGATGTTACTTCATGAATAAATTATATTCTGACAAGAGCAGTTCTAGAAGAACAAGCTATTGGGTGGGTGGGGGTTGGTGGCACTATTACCAGTATTACGGTGCGTTGCCACTAAACCCCTTTTCATTGTTGTGTTTGTCATGGTTGTTGTTATCATTCTCCCCACCCCTCCCATTTTACCTTTCGTCTTCCTCCTAGCCATTCCTCTCCCTTTTCGTCCAAAACTCTTTTTGAAATCTTTTTTTTTTAAATCGTATCCCTTGCCAATTCTTTTATTTCGAGTATTTATTGCTGCTCTTTCGGCATGTTCTGCTGAACGTTTTTCGTGTACCTACAAGAGTTTGTATGTGTGTGGAAGCTGCTTTCCACTCAAAAATCTTATGCATCTTTAAATAAACCCTTAACAATGTCAATATAATCTGTTCCACAATTAAACGAACATCAACAAATCAGAAATGACTGAGCACTAAATTTTGAACACTCATATTTTTAACTTCAAGCTAAAACCACTTACAATGCATGTTCGCATAATGACCGCAGACATAAGAGAAAAAGAGAAATACGAACATGGCACGAGGCCGAACGTTTGTTTCCGAAAGCAAGGTTCAAATTTCCCCTCCATATTAAGGGAATACATGGAACTTATCAAAGAAAGGTTAGTATGAAAGGACAAGTTTCAACCTTTTTCTCTGTGATCACTCTGCAAGGACCTGGGTCGCACATGTCAAATTGACAAGGTTTTTAAAAGTGTTTTGTTTTCGCGATTAATTTGTTTTGCACTGAACAGAATATCTAGAAGCAATATTTATCCGATGAAAATTAGTCTTGGAAAAGTATTAAATTATGGTAATGATAAACAGGTAGATAGGTTGATTTTTTGGTGGATGGATGGATAGATGGATGCAGTGGCGGTTGTAGAGGGGGAGGGGCATCAAGTCGCAAGCCCCCCCCCCCCTAAAAAAACTTTAAAAAAATCTTCAAGCCCCTATCCAATTTGTCTTGAGCCCCCAAAGGGCATTCCAATATATGTATTGGCCTGTATAAGACTAGTAGGCTATACAATTCCATGCGTACATATTATTTATTTCCCTAATCGCTTGATTAACTTGTTTACAGTCATTTTTAACTTTAAAGACAATAGTTATTAAGAAATAGTTTGAAAATGATAAGGAAAAAAAGAGAATTGGGAAAAGACTGAGTCATCAACTTATTAACTAGGTTAAAGCTAGATCATACAGTGAGTTATCAATGGTAGATTATGTTGCACGCAACAAAGAAGGCTTTGACACCAACACAAAAATATTAGAATAAAATCTTTACCACACAATTATGTATAATACATCAGCACACTCATTGAAATCATCACTAAATTTCTTTATATTTGTATTCCATTTCTTTAACTGCATTTGCAAGTTGTTCTTTAAGCACATGTCCAGCTATGTAGAACCAACATTCAATGGCGCATGCACTACATTAATTACTGTCTTTAGCATCACTATCTATTGAATTATGACATTTTAAGCGATCCCAGATTGCTCGTCCTTAACGTAAACAGATTGCATGCATTATCAAAATCAGACATCAACTTTCTTCAAACTCATCTCTCAGCCTTGAGACCTTGTACGATGATAAATGACCCAGGAGAATGTACTTTGACATGATGGAATGACAGATTATGACAAACATGACATAAACAATGGAAAGAAACCCTCGTGAGAAATCAAGAACTCGTGCACGATTCGGAGCGATCAAGGATGGGGGAACCGGGAAGGGGAGGGGAGGAGGAGCATAGAGCAGACACTATTCCGTTTTTTATCTTATATATATATATATATAACAACTTCTTTCCTCCACTATTTTCTAGTCCCAGGTCTTATTTTACTCTACATTGATCACCATTGGCGTATGTTAATCATGGACCTAAATCCAACCATGGATGGGGCAATGGCATGTGGATGAAAATAATGCAAGGGCTGGAGGGGAACGGAGTTTTGGAGGGATAGTGTAATCTATTTTTTCATGCCCATACACCTTCTCTCTCTCTCTCTCTCTCTCTCTCTCTCTCTCTCTCTCTATCTCTCTCTCTCTCTCTCTCTCTCTCTCTCTCT